CCCCTCCTTTTCTTTCCTCCCTTGCCGTGTGTGAGCCACACTTCTTCAAGGCCATACAGGATTCCTTCGCTTACTTGTGTGAGCCCCCTGCCCACTTATGCTCCTTACCAACAATCCAGCGCTTCACCAAAACACACCATAGGTTAGTCCAACAACCAATGGGCTCCTCGCCGCTCCACATTAACAAAAAAAAAAAAAGAAAAAAAAAAGTGAGTGAATAGTGAGTCCCATGCAAATTTCTTTTTAACACATTTTAAAAACTGAAAAAATTCGAAAGAAAAAGTATCATATCTGCTATCTAGTGGTGGGCTTGAACGGTTACAAAAATTGAGCCAACACAAGTCGAAGAACTAACTGTGTGTACAAATTGATTAATATGTTTTTTTACTTTTAATTTTATTTATAAATCTTAAAATTGTGGACAATGGTCAAATATGTCCCATTTTTTCAAAATAAACTAATCATATTATTTTATGTTCACATTTTAATTTAGATTTATGTGATTTTGGAGGGAGAAGCAATCAATTCATTCTGAATTTGAATGAACAGATAAGAAAGTGAATAAAATAATCGTACAAATTTGTATAAAAGGTCTCCCTCCCTCCACTTGATCCATCTTCGTGTTCTGTGGATTCCCCTTTCCCATTGCCAGAATCTTTCCGTCCTTTTCCCCACTCTTTTGCTTTCCCACAACTTTTACTAATCATTTCACCACTCCCATTTTCGCTTTCTTCTCCAAGAATCATTTCCTCAAAACCATCTCTGCCATTACTACACTCCGTTTTCTCTTCAGCTATTGAGCAGCTCGTGTTTCACAACCCAAAATGATGCGATCCTTAATACCCTTAATCGGGTTTTGGTTGCTGCTGTGCTGCCTGCCCGATGCTTCAGATGCAACTTACCTAAAATACAAAGACCCCAAACAGCCATTGGGTGCAAGAATCAAAGATCTTATGCGTCGGATGACTCTCCAAGAAAAAATCGGTCAAATGGTTCAGATCGAACGGAGCGTCGCAACCCCGGACGCCATGAAGAACTACTTCATCGGTATTATCTCACTAAAATCGATTCCCCTGTTCGGATAAATTTGATTTGTCATGGATTTATGTATTGTGTACTGCATTTTGATTATGGAAGATGAAGAGTGACGGTGGATTTGGACAGGGAGTGTACTTAGCGGAGGAGGCAGTGTACCGGCGGCGAAAGCGACGGCGGAGACTTGGGTCAATATGGTGAATGAGATCCAAAAGGGGTCTTTAGCCACCCGTCTTGGGATCCCTATGATTTATGGTATTGATGCTATTCATGGCCACAATAATGTGTACAATGCCACTATTTTTCCTCACAATGTTGGTCTTGGAGTAACAAGGTGAGTAAATTACTCAAGAAGCTGCGGATTTCCTCTGTTTTTCATACTCATTGATGATTAAGATTTAGGAATGTTAATCTGTGTTGATCCTTGAACTGATGAACAAGAATCATTGAAGTTCTTGAATCTGAAATTATGACCCAAAATATTGATGTGGCTTGCTTTGTTCATATCAGGGATCCGGAACTTCTTAGGCGGATTGGAGATGCCACAGCACTTGAAGTGAGAGCAACCGGAATTCCTTACGTTTTTGCTCCATGTATTGCGGTAAAACATTTTGAATCTATTGCTTCAATGAGAAAATGAGGGATTCTTACATGTTCTTCACCGAAGTGTGCTTAGATTACAGTTTTTTCCTTCTGGGTTTTCCTTCTGGTATTGCTGTAAAACATTTTGAATCTGTTGCTTCAATGAGAAAATGAGGGATTCTTACATGTTCTTCACCGAAGTGTGCTTAGATTACAGTTTTTCTCCTTCTGGGTTTGGCTGTTGGGCAGGTGTGCAGGGATCCTCGATGGGGTCGATGTTACGAGAGCTATAGTGAAGATCATAAGATTGTTCAACAATTGACTGAGATTATACCTGGATTGCAAGGAGAAATTCCTGCTAATTCACGAAAAGGGATTCCGTTCGTTGCGGGAAAGTAAGATCCCTTTGCATAACATGATAGTATCTATGTTTTTAAATTTAAATATTTTATTAGCTTGTTCAGTGATTTGATGAGTTACTGTTTAATATCACTTCCCCTGCATGCTTGATAGCAAATATACTTGTTAGGTGCTTGAATGAGTATGCTTTGGTTAACTATCGTATGCCCACATGCCTACCCGGAATAATGCTTACAATTACAAGAGCTTTGTGTCTCATTTTTTTTTTAAATCTATGCTCAAGAAGACAAAAGTTGAGGCTAGAAATGCAGCTAGTTTCTGTCTTCTTTTAACCAATGCATTTTGTGTCTCACTCTCTCTCCAACAACGCAACTTTTATATGGTAAGATTCTACGTCGGTTGGAGAGAGGAATGAAGCATTCCTTATAAGGGTGTGGAAAGCTCTCCCTAGCAAATGCATTTTAAAATCGTGAGGTTGACGGTGATACATAACAGGTCAAAGCGAACAATATCTATTAGCTGTGGGCTTGGGTTGTTACAAATGGTATCAGAGCTAGACACCGGGTGAGGTGTACTAGAGAGTACGTTGGGCCCCCAAGGGGAGTGGATTGTGAGATTCCGCATAGGTTGGAGAGGGGAACGAAGCATTCCTTATAAGGGTGTGAAAATCTCTCCCTAGCAAACGTGTTTTAAAACCGTAAGGTTGACGGTGATACGTAATGGGCTAAAGCGATAGTGGTGGGCTTGGGCGGTTACAAATGGTATCAAAGCTAGACACAAGGGGGTGTGCTAGCAAGGACATTGGGTCCACAAGGGGGTGGAATGTGAGATTCAATTGGAGAGGAGAACGAAGCATTGCTTATAAGGGTGTGAAAACCTCTCCCATACGCATTTTGAAACCATGAGGGCAATATGTAATGGGCCAAAGCGGACCACTGTTACATATACTTACTCAATCGATAAAATATCTTTATGTGAACCTCTTCTGTCTTATCTGATTTGAGCTTTTGTGAACCGTGCATGTTGATGATTATTAAACACAATCCAGATCTATTGATTCAAATGAATTTGTTAGGATATATTATACTGACCACTATTCTATTTTCAACTTATTTCACTTTAGACAAAAAGTTGCAGCCTGTGCTAAGCACTTCGTAGGTGATGGTGGCACGGTCAGGGGCATCGATGAAAATAACACTGTGATTAACTATAATGGATTGCTTAGCATTCACATGCCTGCATATCTTAACTCAATAAGAAAGGGAGTTGCAACCGTAATGGTATCGTACTCGAGCTGGAACGGAGTGCGAATGCACGCCGATCGTGACCTTGTCACTGGCTTCCTCAAGAACAAGCTCAAGTTCAAGGTATTAAAAGAAATTTGATAACTCAAGTGAGATTCTTTCTTATATTATTAATACTAAAATAGACGGTGGGTGTAACGGCCCAAGCCTACCACTAGCAGATATTGTCTTCTTTGGGCTTTCCCTTTTGGACTTTCCCTTTCGGGCTTCCCCTCAAGGTTTTGAAACGCGTTTGTTAGGAAGAGGTTTTCACACCTCTACAAAGAGTGTTTCGTTCTCCACCCCAATCGATGTGGGATTTCACTGTGGGTAATTCTACAAATATGCATGATGTTCTATTTTTGATTCTCTGTAGGGTTTTGTCATTTCTGATTGGCAAGGGATTGACAGAATCACCTCTCCTCCACATGCTAATTATTCATATTCAGTTCAAGCTGGAGTTGGTGCTGGAATTGACATGGTAAATCAAATCTCACCTTTGATTTAGAACATGTAACACAACAATTTTGTTCGATGTCTTTTAAAACCGTTACGTTTTTTCATTTTATACATGGTTCATGACAGGTTATGGTTCCAGTAAACTTCATGGAGTTCATCGACGAACTCACTCGCCAGGTTAAGAATGATATCATTCCTATGAGCAGGATCGATGATGCTGTTCACAGGATATTACGAGTTAAGTTTCTTATGGGTCTGTTCGAGAATCCGTTGGCCGATAACAGCTTTGTCAACCATCTTGGGAGCAAGGTTTGTCACTTATTTAGATCTGCTAAGGTGTTGGTTTTGGTGAGTGAAACTAAATATGTTGGCCCTGCTACAGGAACATAGAGAACTGGCTAGGGAGGCTGTAAGGAAATCGCTTGTGTTATTGAAGAATGGCCCCTCTGCCGACCAACCATTGCTTCCTCTTCCTAAGAAAGCTGCAAAGATATTGGTTGCAGGGACACACGCCGACAACTTGGGCTACCAATGCGGAGGCTGGACAATCACGTGGCAGGGTCAGAGCGGCAATGACCTCACTGTTGGTATGTCTTAAAAAGTTCATTGTTTCTTCTGTAAAAATACTCGAACCGCAAGAACCACGGTTGTTCGATAGTCGTTCGGTTTCTTAGACTCGTAAATTTGTGCACAGGTACCACCATCCTCAATGCTGTGAAGAATACGGTCGATCCTGCGACCGAGGTAGTGTACAACGAGAATCCAGATGCTAGCTTCGTCAAGTCGAACAAGTTCTCATATGCCATTGTTGTTGTGGGGGAGCCTCCATATGCTGAAATGTTTGGCGATAGCTCGAATCTCTCCATTTCTGAACCCGGTCCAAGCACCATAAAAAACGTGTGCAGTAATGTTAAATGTGTAGTCGTCGTCGTCTCTGGTCGCCCTGTTGTGATGCAACCTTATGTTGAAACAGCCAATGCCCTTGTGGCTGCTTGGCTTCCAGGAACAGAAGGCCAAGGTGTAGCTGACCTTCTGTTTGGCGACTATGGATTCACCGGGAAACTTGCTCGTACATGGTTCAAGACGGTCGATCAACTCCCAATGAACGTCGGCGATTCGCATTATGATCCACTTTTTCCGTTCGGATTTGGTTTGACAACTAAACCAAATAAGTACTAGGTAGGTAAGATTTAGAAAATTTGGAAAGATATTTATCATCTTGCATATGATGAGGCTATTTACAAATTCCTCCTAGTCCTGTATTAGAAGCATTTCCAAATATGAATGAACTCATTATAATCAATTTGAACTGGGTTAACGGAATAAAACACTTGTTATCATTCCAATAGTCGATAATCGTTCTTGAGTACTACTAAACCTAAAATATTACTGACCCTAAAAACTTACAAACGTCTAAATTATTACTTCCATATAAACATGAACGTAAATACCTAACTTCCTAAAGAAGAAAAAAGCTATTCCTACTTGCTGATTTGACATTATAACCTAATACAAGTCATAAACGGCAACAAAAGACATTAGAACACTCCCAATCCACAGTTTTCCATCTTTTTCCTCAACTTCACTAGCTGCTTTGACAACCTTACCCTGGCTGTCCTCTAGTATCTGCAAAAGCTTCCCTTCTGGGCTATACTTCACAAGCACTGCATGAGGCCGTCCCCCAATATGAAGCAGGAACTGGAATTTTGCGGATATTGGAAGCTTGAGTAGAAATTTCCTCAGTCGGGGATATTTAGCTTCCAAGCTGGCTAATGTAGAATGTCGACTGTGGATTGCCACCCAAAAGTCACCCTTGTCGTTTGTTCGGATGTTGTCCGGAAATCCTGGGAGGAGGGCAAAATTCTCTGTTGTTCCTGCTTTCTCACCCTTCAACCAATACTTGCGTAATCTAGATCAATGTGGACATGTAGTGGAAATGAGTTCAGTGAGTGAATGTTTTGAATGCTAAAATAGTGAATGAGTTGAAATAAAGAGGGCATGTTTTTGGAAGCTTTTGTAAACATAGACCATTGGTTGGTGTTCTTTCCATTCATAAATCCATGAACTAGGAGCTATGATTAATGAGATTGTGTAGAGAGTTTCACCTTCCTTTGCCGCCTTCACAGAACACAAAGAAAGAACCGTCCTTAGTTAGAGACACGCCATTTGGAAAATAAACATCCCTCACAAGCACTGTGGTTTCTCCGGTAGTAGCATTATATTTCAAAACTCTCCCGGTGTTTTCAGCAGAAAACACTACTTGCAAGAAGTTCCTGCACCAGAAAGAGAAGTACTACAACTCTCAGCTTATTCAATTGACATGGAAAATGGTATACTGTACAAATTGAGTAGAGCTTATATAAGGTACATAGTTACATATGGTAAATCTATATATCTATTCTCTCTAGTTTCATTCGATCCTAACCGATAATAATGTTGTTTTGAACAAGAATCAAAACTTTTAGATAAGGAACATGAAGGAGATTTTTCATTCCCCTGCTCCTAGTTTCCTTCTTCTAGGAATGAGTTTGATCTCTGCTCTTGATTTTGATTTTCACAAAACCCTCCTCTATAAAACAATCAACAAGAAAATCACTATAATAATTGGGAAGTCTACTTGGTGCATCCATGGTCATATGTAAATAAGCAAGAGAAAAATCACCATAGCTTACCTTCTCGGGTATTTGGTGCTGGTATCAGTGAAGTACACATTCCCTTCGTCATCAAGGTCTAGATCATTGGTGAATTTAAAAGGCACTCCTTCTGCTTCAGTTGAAAGAGATGTTGCCAAGCCTCCTTCAGGTCCCACTTTCATCAGCCCAAAGTATGCATCTGCAATATATAAATCGCCTGTTTTCTTGTCGAATCGGAGACCTAAAGGGCGGCCACATATATGTTCATTCTTCGAATAACTTAAAATCGATGGTTTAGGATCACAAATCTCCGACCTGAAACGACAGGGAAATAAATTAGAATGCATCAGCAGCATCTAAAACACAAATGCCTTGAAAACAGAAACGAGGACAAGTAATTATATAGGATCAAAATCAAACGACTCTACATACTTATTTTGGCATTGAACAGAAGAGTACCTATTAGGCGAAGTATAAGCAAAATCAGTCCAGGATTCACCATTCCAGAACAGCACTCTACCATCAGCGACACCAGTATAGGGTCCGCGCCCTTGAGGATCGAAAGCCACACTCTCAGGGCCCTGAACTTGATCCTTAAACATGATTTTCGACTTCTGCAACAAGTTATCGCTATCTCTCTCCGTCGGTATTTCAGACCACGAAGGCAATTCTACATAATAGGTCTCAAAGTCAGGGAAATCAGCGATTGCACTGTGCTTGAAGGGATCAGTAGCACAATACAGAGCCACTGCGAAGAAGAGGCCGGCGAGTACAGCTCCGAACGATACGGAAGACTCATCGTTACCTCCCTTGCGCCCCATGCCTACAAAATCAAGAAAATGACACTGGATTGGAAGAGGCGAAAAGGACTGGAGGAGGCGGAACTGGTACGAACTGTTGAAGATTGGAAATGGGAGACAGAGGGATGGAGAGAAATTGGAAGATTAAAGAGTGGTAGGTAGAATTTGATGGAGTTGATTGCAGGTTTTTGATTATGAGATGAGAAGACCGGAGAAGCTCCTATTTATTGCTTTCGACCACACCCTTAACCGATTTTATTTTATTCTTATTTTTATTTTTTTCCATTATTTTCAAAATATCTTCTTTTAAAAATACAATATTACCCTTTGTTTTTTTATAAATATTTCATATATATTTAACTAAATAAATAAAAAGTTTTTTGTATTTTATTTTTCTTGTTTAACATATTTATGAGTATTTTTGTCCCAAAATATAAAGTTTAAGATTATTTTTATTAAGATTTTTGTTTAAAATTGTAAAATATTTTAATTTAAGATTCATTTTTCAATATTTATAAAGGGTAATAGTGTAACTTTAAAAAATATAGATATTATTTTTTTATATATAATCTTAACCATTTCATTTAAAAAAAAAAATCATAGATTTAGATAGATTTCAAAACAGTTAAATGGGAGAGATTTAAATATTAATCCATATAATTTGAATATCAAAAAATCTTAAAATTGAACGGATAATTGATATTTTAAATAAATAATAATATTATTTGTAAAAAATTTCTAATCAATAGTACACAGAATTTGTCATTAAAATAATACAATAATAAAAGAGTGATATGAAAGGATATAAATGTATAATATATTTTAGATAATTAATGTTAATTAAAATTAAATCAGTGATTTGAAAAGTAAACCATTAAATTTAATTATGAGTATTAATTTAAGTTCTCAAATACTAAAAATAAATATCAAATTAGGGAGACAATTATTATTATTATTAATTTTTTTTTAAATCACTCTTCAATAACTTATATTTTAAAAAATAAATAAATAAAAATAATATTAAGATTTTAAAAAGTATAATGATTCAAAATATAAAATAGTTAATCTCTATTATATTAATTATTTTATATATTTATTTAATTTGAATAATTAAAAGGATGAATAAAAAAATTAATCCCTAATTAAGAAAAAGAGCATCAGTGATTAATTAATGGAACTTAATTCTAGTCTTGTTAGTCATTGTTCATGGTTTTCAGTCTTAATTCGAAAAATTTTCCTAGTCAATTAACGGGTGAAGTTGAAGGATAAAGATGAGACGTTTTAGTGAGAACTTATATTTAAAGTTGACAATAACATAGTATTGTGGAGGTTCGTTGTTCATATTATCCCGAAAAAGAACCAAAGAAGACAAGAATGAGATTGATCATCGTTTTGAGTAAAACCCAGAATTAAAACGAAAAAATTGGAGAAACTAAAAACAAAAGTGAATCACTAGCTCATATGAATAATATCATACCACGGTTGACTCACGTTTTATTCTAATTTTTAAATTTTGATAAACACAATCAATTGAAATAACTCAAGTTAGCTATTTATCACGTCATGTGATAAAGACAAGATCATACATATCTTTAACATATACTTTTATATTGAAGTATATAAAGTATGAAATTAAATCAAATCTATAAAGAATGAAGGATGAGTATGATCATGATTATAATTATTATCATGTAAAATTAATTAAAATAAAATATAAATTGATGAAAGGCATGAGCTGGAGAAAATAAGACAAGACAGAGCAAGACAATTTGAACCCCAACTGCTACAATAGCGTTAAAATGTTTGATAAAATAACCCTCCAACTGATAGCAGCATATTGGGCATGATATGCCTTTTTGTTCTTATATATACATTCATAACCCTTTGGATATAAGACACAAACCCTCCTTGCTACACACCCACATGTGGACCCTCAAATTCTCCAAAGGCTGGGAGACCAGCGACAACGCTCATTTAGGGCGCCAGTTTTGGGAGTTCGACCCAAATCTCCAGCCCTCTCTTGAAGAACAAGCTCGAGTTCATAATGTCTGCAATGATTTCTATACCCACCGCTTTCAAGCCAAGCACAGCTCTGATCTCTTAATGAGACTTCAGGTCAGTTCATCCTCTTCTGGGTATCAAACTCATCATAGATTGATAGCCACTGCATGAGTTCAAGCTAGGTTCGAGTTACCTGTAAGAGTCTATTATCCTATTTCGACTTTTCCTTAAAGTTTTTAAAACGCGTCTTCTAAGAAGAGGTTTTCACAACGTTCTAAAAAATATTTTGTTCTACTTCCCAGTCAACGTAGGATCTCACCATTCACCTTCCTTTAGGGCCTAGTGTCCTCGCTAGCATTTGTTCCCTTCTCCAATCGATGTGAGACTCCCAATCTACCCTCTTTGGGGTCCAACGTCCTTACTGCTGGCACACCACCTCGTGTCCACCCCCTCACCGGCACATCGCCCGATGTCTAGCTCTGGTACAATTTATAACGGCCCAAACCCACCGCTAGCAAATAATATTCTCTTTTAGACTTTCCATTTCGAGCTTCCCTTCAAGGTTTTTAAAACGTCTCTGCTAAGAAGAGGTTTCCACACCCTTGTAAAGAATGTTTAGTTCTCTTCCCCAATTGTGAGATCTCACAATCCACTCCCTTGGTACCAGCTTCCTCGCTGGCACTCGTTCTCTTCTCCAATCGATAAGAGACCTCACAATCCACCTCCATTCAAGGCCCAACGTCCTCGCTGGCCTTTATTCTCTTCTCCAATTGATGTGGGATTCCCCAATCCACTCTTTTTGGGGCCAGCATCCTTGCTAGCACACACCCTCGTGTCCCCCCTCACTAACACATCACCCGATGACTAGCTCTAATACTCTTTGAGCTTTCTCTGTCGAGCTTCCCCTCAGGATTTTTAAAACGCGTCTACTCAATAGAGGTTTCTACACCTTTATAGAAAATGTTTCGTTATCATCTCCAACCGATGTGAGATCTCACATTAGCGTTCTAATTTGACGTTGAAAATGATTCTTTCAAGCTCCCCAACTTTCATCGCACTTAGATACTATATGTTAAGTTTGGTTATTTAAATTTTTTGAATACGTTTAGTTGAAGAAGGCGAATGGGAGTGAGGTGAAGCTGCCAACTCAAGTGAAGCTTAGAAGTGAAGAGGAAATGAGTGAAGAAGCAGTGGAAACCACGTTGAGAAGGGCTATCAGATTCTACTCAACTATGCAGACACAAGATGGCTTCTGGCCTGGTGACTATGCTGGCCCTTTGTTTCTTCTTCCTGGCCTGGTTAGTTTATATATATATATATAATATTTTTATTTACCCTAAATTCGGTAACTCTAAACTTTGAATTTCATCCATTTAAACCTCGAACTTGAATAAGTTTTTGTTTTAACCACGTATGTCTAAGGTCACGTGTTGATCGATACTTGTTTATTATTTTTTTAGAAAGAAATTACCAAAGGTTAGCTTAATCATTTCAAATTGGGTGACCACCGTTGTGAAAACTACGAACTCAACTTTAAAAAGTAAGACCTACGAGAAAACAAACGATCTCTTGTGTTCCTTCTGACCTTAGGTTTTATTACCAACGACAACAAATGTGAGGAAGATCTAGGTAGCAAGGTCGTTGGAGGCAGTAGTGACCCATGATAGTTTTGTCGATTTTCGTTCGTGAGAACAAAAAAGATAGTGACTAACAGAGTGACACTCATTATATACTAGTTATAGTGTAGTTAATTGTAAGAATGATGAAAGCAAAATCAACGCTCGAAGGAAGGAGATAGAGATTCCAACGAGGATGATTTTGAAAACCATACACGATGAAGGAAAACTCGAACTCAAGGCCAATCATAAATAAAAATAAAAAATAAACCAATATTTATAACCGAGAGTAAAAATTGATTGGGATGAAATAAGCTTAATAGTTGTATTCATTAATAATTTTTCTGTTAATTTCTTTTGTTAATTATTTAACTTTTTTCCTGTATTTATTTTTTTTATATTTTATTTTCAAGTTTTCTATGTATTTTATTTTTAAAATATTTTAAAGTGTTTGAAATTTGACTTTAAAAAATAATAAATTATATAATTATTTTGAATTACTAAATTGATCTGGGCAACAGTTATTTATTTTAAAATATAATTACGATTATTTAAAACTAATTATTATTACCTTTGATTTGGGTTATAAAATTTTTCATCTAATATATATGTATATATATATTTTTAATTGGTTTAACATCAATATATATTTATTTTTAAACATTTTCAATTTTTATTTCACACAATTATCTTCCAAATTAAAATTTATTTTTAAAAGTGGTAGGAGAATAAATAATTAAAATATAATTATGAAATTATATGTACGCATAATTCTATTGTAAAAATTAATAATAATAATATATATATATATATATATATATATATATATATATATATATATATATATATATATATATATATATATATATATATATAATTTAATTAATAAAAATTTTATTTTTTAACCATTAATCCAATCTAAGGAGTCAAACTCAAATTGAATTAATAAAATATAAAATGTTGGATCATTTTAATATTATTTAAAATTCCCAACCGGTCCCCTCTCATCCTTCCGTTGCAACCCTAATTTATGTGGCCATCATTTTCAAATAGGGAGAAAAATGTATTTTTGTGCATATAATAACAACCATATTTTAATTATTTTATTTTATTTTCTAAATGGTCCCATAATTTCCCAATTTTTAGTTTTATTTATTAATTTGTAGGTGTACGGATATATTGATTTGATTTTGGAATATTTATTATTCAAATGAACATGGGTGCTTACACACTTGTATCTTTTTATTTATTTTTAAATAATAATAATAATAATAATAATAATAATAAATAACACTTGTATCCAAGTTTGAAATATTTTATTTATATATTTAGTTATATAATATCAAGTTGATATATATATAATTTAACGCATAAAACAAAAGGTTGGACAGAGAATAAAGTAGGGAAGATGATGGGTTGAAAAGCTTGAATTAAAATAATTTTTTGTTGTGATTTTGGAATTTAAACCCATGAATTTTTTATTTTTTATATAGCTGTGATTTTAAATGAAATTATGCGAAAATATTATTTAGAAAAGTTTTAAATTTCGAAGGTATAGATTGGAA